GGGGACAAAGGCAGGGTTAGAGACACACTGGGCTGGACTGGGGCCCACTGGGGTGGACTGGGACACACTGGGATGCTGGGGAGGGTTGTGACCATGAGAGGGGAGGGTCTGGGCCCAGCAGAATTTGGGGTACCCACCTCAGACCTCTTCACTCGATGGACATCCATGCCTCCCTGGAGAGAGAGCGTGAGGTGTCACTGGTCACTGGGTTGTTCCCAGGCCCAGAAGGGATGGGGGGACTACATTTCCCCCCATTTCCCATATTGGGGGCATCCCAACTCCAGGACTTACCCCAACACATCCACCTCCTCCTTGTCCCGAGATCGGCTGGGGAAGCACAGCAAAGGTTTAAGCAGGATTGGCCCCTGTGGGGCTGGGAGAGGGGCACGGGTGTCCCCAGCCCCCCCAGCCCATGGTTGGCCAAGTCTGAAGGGGAAAATCCCTTCTACTGCCCCCAACCCCACTCCATCCAGTTTCCCCCTGGATCCCAGTTCCTGCAGGGCCCAGGGTGGGGATGGAGACAGGGAGAGCCAGGGGAATTCAGGGCCTGCAGGGAGGGGAGGGGGGGCAGGAGGAGGGGGCCCAAAGAGGGAGAAGTTGTGGGAGTTGGGGACCCCAGAGGATGGGCATTGGGGTGTGGAAGGGATGGGACTGTGGGGGATGTGGGTGAGGAGGAAAGGATTCCAATGGAGGGGACCTGGGGAATGAAGCAGGGCAGGGGTGGGGGCAGGAGAAATGGGGAAGGGGGGAAAATTGGAAGGGATTGGGAAGGGCTTTGAGACTGAGGGGTCACGGAATGGGATTTATGGACATGAGTGTTGTGGGCAATGGGAAAGGGAAAGGGTTAGAGGAGAAAGAGGGGAAGAAATGGTATGGGAATGATGCCCTGTGTGTGTGGGAATAGAGTGGGGGCCCTGAGGAAGGGACCTCCCCAGTGCACACTGGGGTGGACTGGGGAGCACTGGGATGCCCTGGAGGGTGGTGGCCACCAGAGGGGAGGGTCTGGGCCCAGCACAAGCCCTGGTACCCACCGGGCCGCCGATCACACCTCCCTGTAGAGAGACAAGGAGATGTCACTGGTCAGTGGGGTGTCCCCAATGCCAGGAAGGGATGGGGGGCCCAAAGTGCCCCCCACTTCCCACACTGGGTGCCCCCCAACTCCCAGACTTACCTGCCCACATTGGACGCTGTCACTCTCAATGGGCTGCAGG